TTTAGTATATTACTTTGTGTGGGTAGAAGTGAATCATTTACTGCTTGCAAACCAATGATGGTAAGATGATGTCATGGGGTAGGACTGGATAAGTCTGACTTCTTCCTACTCCATTCAAGCATGTACTAGGTATAAGCAAATTGATATTGGATTAGCATTTGTTGGATATGTGTAAAATTATGTGTGTTGACATATCAACTGCCTTTACATGCTTGAAAGAATAAATCATATAAAATCAAATCAAATCAAATCAAATCAAACCAAACACGCTTGGCATAAGCAGGTATTTACATGCACACACATGCCTGCATAAACACAAACCCATACACAGGCTAACAGCTGCCACCAAAAAAAAAAAAAAAAAATCACAGTCATAAATTATTCTACCGCTAAAAGATTTGAAACATTCACTGATGGCAACTACAAAAACAGCAAGGTCTCAGTTAGGAGAAGATATTTCTAAGGACACTGAGTTTTAAGGCAACAACTTAGCAGCTCTATTCAGCATTGTACAATGAATTAATTAATTTTTCGGCTTGAATGACTCCGGTGGGAATCCAGCATGGGCAATATTAAACTTGTGCACTAAGTGATGAGATTAAAAAAATTCAATGTAGCAGTAGTAGTTTATCTACATAATATGGAAACACAACAAAGAATTTACTAATTAGACTTTTATTCTCTTGACATGAGTCTATGAGGAACAAATGAAAATGAGTTGGGTTATTATGTCCAAACCTAACAAGGGTACATTTGCAGGTTGTGTTTATATTTAGCATTAACTCTAGTTTTGTGCATCATGAGTTAAAAACTGTGAACATGCAGTGGGCGGATGCACCGATGACTTCAGCTTAAATTGACTTTAAGATTGTATTGTTCACCATATTTGAAAAAAAAAAAAATCCTTTTTTCAATGTGAAGATGTGTCCTCTAGAGTTTTGTGAGCAGAAAAAAAGCCATCAACTACATTCTGACATCTCAAAGAAATAATAAGGTATGCTTGACATGATGGGCCAGGAAGATCAAGCTTTTACTCTGGTTATGTTTGACATGACCACCACATGGAACAAAATGTTCTGCCAACTCCTGCCAATAAAAAAAACACAGTGTTGTGGTTGTACACAACAAATATAAGGACCCAAAGAGATATATCCATCGGAATTGCAATATCTGTACACCATCATAGCTGAGGTATGGAAATCCCTGGTGGCAAACATCACAAAAAAATACTGAAGTCCTGCTGTTTTATTTATAAGACACCAAGGGTGTTTTCCCCTTGTATCTGAATATAGAATAAGAAAGGACACCTTGAACCGCTGACAGGAATAAAATTCAAAAACAGACTTTCAGAAGCAAGTCTCCAGACAAGCCTGGTAATCTTATTTCTAGTTGGAGGAGGTTAGCAAGTGATGTTCAGGGGCCCAGAACAATGCAGTAGCTCCTATGCTCATGTCAAATCTAGCATTAATGTGATCACCGGTCCTGCCTTTACTTGGACACAATGCCACCATAATGCTACTACAGCACAGGTAAACGTGAATAGTCCGAGTATTTTCTTGATGAAGTTCCTATGCAATGTTCCATTTCAAGGTCTTGCATCACCCTTTCCCTCACTTGGCAGAGTATCGCAAAATTTTAACCTCAGGCTGCTGAGTTTATTTTTCCATTTTCAAAATATATATACTGCAAGGTTTGTTCTATTATTAGACACAGAATTTCACTGTGCCAAACTATAGCAGCATTATAACCCATACAGTTTTTAAATGAAGTCCAGGTTTGTTTTCTGGCTTCACATAGTGATAATGTACCAGACTCTATTGTACATTCAGTGGATATTATAATCACCTTTCCATATAATGCAATCAGTAAGTCAATATGATAATAGTAATCAATGAGAAAAACAGAAGCCAGTCTTCTTATTTAAACCAAGGGGATCTACTTGGTGTAGAGTTAAGGCTTTTAAAACTATCCCTGCATATATTTTCAAAGATTTTAAAGTTGGATCCTTTCAGTCAAAAGTGGTCCATCTCCAAACAATTACACATTATCAATACATTCTAAACTGCAGACTGGCACTGTGGCGGCCTGGGGGACTGTACTGTCACTTTCCTTTTTCCTCTTCACGCATCAGACCTCCAACTTTACATTTTATTCTGTCTCAACAAATTCAGCAGTCATAACTCCACTACTGTGAGATGCATCAACGGGGCCACAATACACTGGTTGCTGTAATAATGTAAACTGCACACATTTGCATTTACTGGTGGCAATTTTAACATTATAGAAGGAAAAGAACAAGCAGCAGGAAAAACAGATGTCTTGCTCACAGACCAACGATACCTAGTCAGAGTATTAA